TATAAAATGCATAATAAAAATAATAACACAAAGTCTAGCAAACAATATTGCCATATATGGGCCATATGAATAATTGCCGTATGAATAAAGAAAATAAAAACCTTATATCTACTTGTAAAATTTAAAGCAAATCGTTCGCCAATATGAATAAACATAAAAGTAAAATATCTTACTTAAAATGATAAGTAAATTCATTTACTATTACATTACTATTAGTACAGGTTGCTAAATTATATTTGTTAATGCAATAAAAAAAAAGGGGACCTCTTGGAATAAACTTTTTTTACTGTGTAGGTATGATAAAACCATCTTGGCACAGCTTTTGCAAAATAATTGGGTGTCATCGCACTGATTTGGCGAAATATTTTATTTTTGTCCAGCTCCTGCAACCACCCTGAAACCTTTATCCCTGCTTTGGCGTTGGGCATTTCTAGGATTACTAAAATAAATTGTTGGCAATATTAATAGTTTTTGTAAATGAAATACCTATTATTTAATTAAATCTCTATAAACTTGCCAAAAACAAGCAATCCGACGCTGAACAAGTAATATAAACAAATACCACAGACAAAAAAAAACAAACAAAATTTGTCTGACAAATACAAACAAAAGCACGATACGTTGATTTCAACGGTTGTCAAAGTTGCTTTTTAGGCTCATAAAAATGTTCTTTTAGGACAATAAATCAAAATTTCGCCATTTTAGGCTTTTAGGCAAAAACAAAGGGGTGTCAAACGCTTTATTTTTTTAAGTTTAGGATTAATTTCAAGGTCCCAAACAAATGCCTGAAATAGAAACAAAAAGGCATTTTGCCTAAAATCCATAAAATTGAAAGAAAAAAAGTTTCGTGATTATTGCTTACCTTTTTCAAACCAAATGGATGCTATTTTTAGAAAATTAACTATATATACTAGATTTTTTACAAAAAGGTTGAACCTAACAGCAAATAATTTTTATTTACAAATCGTTATTTTTCATTGATTTACTTTTACTTAATCAATTTGTAAATATTTATACATTTTCTTTTTTAATACTTACTATGGTAGTTTTCTTTACTTAAAAAAATAAAACTCGTTCGCCGAAAATATCTTTTATTTTCATGTTTACATCGTTAAGAAAATATATATCATCGCCGTTTCTTTAAAAAAATCTTCATACAATCCATAAATTTTCAGGAAAGCCACTTAAAAAGAACTCAATATTCACATTAAATTTTTTTTAAAGAGTTTCCTAATAAAACCACTTGTTTTCTTCAATAAAAAAATTCTATTATTTAATGCCCTCTTAGTAATTTATACCACATTAGTTTGTTTCCATTATTATTTTTTGTTCTACAGGAATTTTGGGTATTTTAAATTAAAATTTTAATTCAGGTTATCTTTTAAGCCTTTGTTAATCTTACTTTGGTGGACTATATAACCATGGTTATAGGTGGTTTTAACTTGATTTAATATTAGTATTACATAAATTATGTAATACAGCAGTTTTAAATTTATGTTACTTTAGCTGTGCCTAGTCTATTGCATCAGAAATATTAATGGATTCATCACTCCTAGGCGCGAATTTTTAAAACAACCAAAAACCGCTAATTTTGAAAAACCATCCCTTTCACATTTAGATAAATAATAAAATAATACCTCAAATTAAAAAAGCTTCAATATTAAACACAAATTTTAAAAAACTTGAAAGAACATTTTGACCAACGTGGGTTTAACGTATTATAATGGTAATTTAAAGTTTCAAATGTGTAATCATACAAATAAATTAATCTGAAGACTGTTCATCCTCTATAATCATTTGAAATGAGTCAGAGAGAATATTTAAATCATCCTCAGAATCAGACTCATTTTCAAACGATATAATTAATAGTGATTTGGTATTTAAACAAAAGTTTCGAAATATTTTACCATTATCACCTAAATACGATTGGAGACAACCAATCGAAACGTTGTGAAAATCAAGAAAATCAAGATGACGATAGTCCAATGTAACATTACTTGATATAATTAATGGTGGAACATTGCGTAAATCCATGCTGCCCATGTTTTTCTCCAGTCTTCCTAAATTTTTTTGTCTATTTTCCCACATTTCAACGGTAAATTTTGATAACGATTCTTGCCAAACTGTTTTTACTTTATCTGGACTGAAACATTTTAAATCGCTAATATTTTTATTATAAAAAGTTTTACAAAAACCCCACACCATTTCAATGGCGTTATATTGACAATCGTATGGGGGTAGCTAAAGAATTTCAAAAACTTTAGATTTTAGAAATTATTTGACTACATATTTTTTTCTCTTTTTAAAGCGAAAGGTTTCGCCAGTTTCCAAAGATCGTTTTTTTAATTTAGGGTCAAAATAAATACCGTTTTTTTCTTCTAAAAAACGCCGAAATAATTGTTTGCTGATTTTGAAATTGGTTTTTCTAAAAGAACCGAATGTTATCCATTACAATATTGGAAAATGTGTTATTTAACACATTTTCCATTAATATTAATTAAATCCGAAACTAATTTGTTTTTAACCCAATCAAAAAATATATCGCCATTCATAGTTTTATGATAATCGCAATCGTTATTTTTACTCGAAAATAAAAAGTGACAATATAGTAAATCTCATTCATTCTTCTATCATCATCTTTCACCCACTTTCTTACCTGACTGTCATTTTAGTAAATCCAAAAAAATAAAATTTACATTCTTTCCTGAATTTAAAAGTTCCAAATATTTTCTTCACCCTCAAGATATCATTCAGAAGATCTTTATACCAACTTTAGAATAATGTCCATTGATAATATTTATAAATATCAGGTGTGTAGCTTTGTTCATGGTTCTATACTTGAGAAGAAACACACGAATATTAATTTTAAAGCCAGAAATGAAATACATCTACACAACACAAGAAATAATAATAATTTAGCAGTTCCACACGTCTTTTCAAAGTATGGTAAAGCATGTTTATTATATAGAGGTGTTAATATATATAACAGCTTACCAGAAGATATAAAAACAAAATCGACAAGACATATAAAAGAGTATTTCAATCCTTGATAAGAGGCTAACCTGCGTGTCTTCTTCTTGAGTATTGAATTTGAAAAAAAAAAGTTCAGTAAATATGTAAATTAATGTATAAAGTATGTTTGTATATTGTATATTTGTAAGACTATAATTATCTTATAAGATAATGTTTTATCACTGTGATAGATATACTTATTGTAATTATTATATGTTTAGAGTTTGTCCCTCTATAAACAATCTATGTTTCTTGGGATCAATAAAGTATTTATTATTATTATTATTAAAAAGTAATTTACTCCGCTCGCATCAATTTTTTTATATTTAAAACCCACGTCCCGTAAAATTTTATACAGTAGTGTACCCTTTATTCTTTCTCTCTATTTTTTGTTTTTTTATTTCCCCCTTATTTTTTAAAATTTCAAAAATTTTTGGTCTGCTTAGCTGAAAATAATGTGTGATTTAATATTTGTAAAACCAAAAACGTTATTTTTTTACTCCAAAAATGTCCATAAGGCGAGGTACTTTTTCTGCCATTGAGGCATTTGGCATAACTTCATCGAAATGAAGTTTTGCCCTTAGAAGTTCTTTACTTTAGAATCTGATATTATTTTTGGCATAGTTATCTTTTTATATCGATATTATCAAATAATTAGTAAATTATCAATAATAAATATTATTGTCAATTTAATTAAGGTCTTCAGCAAAAGTACCATTTTTTAAGTACTAAAAATACTACATCAAACTGGCATAAGCTACCAACTTCATAAAAAAATACGAGTCCAAAATAAATGAATTGTACTTAGATAGAAGAACAAAACCCTACACAGTAGGCTCCATGCCCGAATCTCTCAGCACATTGCATGCATTGGCGCCAAAGTTGACTTAGTGTAGGTACAGTTGTATTCATTAAAAAAGCGTACAAGAATTAGAATGAGAGAAAACTGTCAACATTATTGCGTAAAACCGGCTTTCCACTGACTTAAGTCACTATAACTGACAGTAGAAAATAAAAATGCCTCGTCAGTTAAAAAGGCTCAAATAGTACTAAGAATCGAAGAAGAATGGTCAATTCGTACTGTGGTATAATAGAAATAAAAAATCTATATTAAAAATTAAGCAACGCTGGGAACAGGAAGATTTACTAAACCAAAAAGTTGGTTCAGGCTGCTTTTTTGGGATATCTGAGGATTTATGGGAAACTATGCAACTATACTATACCTACTATACTGCTGGGAAGATATTAATCCAAAATATTGTATTAAATTTAATTCAGTTCATCCCAAATAGATTGGCTCAAGTAATAGAAAAACAGGGATGCATGACTAAATATTAAATTTTTTTTAATGTTTGTTTTTTTCATTATTAAAAGGTAATAATTTTTGTAATATTATTTAATTAACCTACGACGTCAATGCTCTTTATAACCTATAGTAATTATTTTAATGACTTATGTCAGTGATAAGCCGGTTTTAAGCAATAATATTATTTTGACAGTTTTCTCTCATTTTAATTCTTGTACGCTTTTTTATTGAATACAACTGTATGTGTAGACATAAAATTAATTATATAATTTTATGTGCACAGATAATAGTATATTCTGTAACAAGTTTGTAATACAGCATATTCCGCTCGAGTGAAAAGTTTGTTACACGAGCCGAAGGCGAGTTTGACGGTTTCACGAGAGCGGAATAATAATTTTTATTTATGTAAAGCCATAATTGTAATTGTATGCACTTATAGGATTGGCATATACATTTTTGTTCACATTCATAACAAAGTTTCGCAATAATTATTAATAAACGATAACATCCTGTGTAATCTTAGGCAACTAATTTTTTACACGAAAAACCGACGCGACGGTCAATCTTTCTAAAACTTTGTAAATGTCTTTTAAGTAGAAAACTACACCTAGAATTTTTTAAACATTTTCTCATAGCGACCTCTTTAAAATTATACAAAAAATAATCTACAAAATAAAATGATGTATTTTAGTACTCCAAACTACGTGAGAGTTGACAACCAGGAACTGGACTCTTCTAACAAGGGACACCAGATGTTGCGCAAGATGGGATGGGGCGGCAGCGGTCTGGGTGCGAACGAGCAGGGCATGGACACGCCCATCTCTGGGGGCGACGTGCGCGATCGCCAGGATCAGTTTAAAGGTGTCGGTTGTAACTTGAACGATCCGTACGAGAACTTTAGGAAAAACAAAGGTGCCGCGTTTATTACCAGGATGAAGGCGAGAGCGGAAGAGAGGGCGAACGAGAATAAATTGATTGATTATTAGATTTTTACAAGGTAAGGTTTCAAAGGGGACTGTTTGCTTACTTGCCATATTAAATCTTTGTATAATAGTTATATATATATATATTTTAATTTGTCTATTAATCAGCATTTTTTAATTTCTAGGAAAATATCATGATTGAGCTTCATTTCTATTGTAGTCAATTTTCTTAATCAATGTTTTTATCTTAAAAATAAACAATTTCCGTAATTCATAAATATTGTAGGTAAACATACTCAAGAGGTATAAATATATTAACTACTATTATTCATTGTGTTCTTTTTATAACCAAATGTGTTGACTAGATGTATATAGTTAGTGTTAATACAAAAATGATTTGTAATGTAAGTAATTCAAATAAAACACGGATTTATTAAATATGTATTTTTATTCTTAAATTACTTTAAATGAAAAATAATTATCCTTATTAAAATATGTACATGATTAAAACTTTAAACTAAATCCTGCTCCTCCTCTTCTTAAATCGACTCCCATTCCTAGGGTAAAACCATCTCCACCCTGAAAAGAAATATACATAGAGAATTTAACCTAAAAATCGTATACATTGTTCAATTTATAAGGATACAAAATGAATATATATATACAGGGTGTTCCAACGAAAACTTGTACCCCCCCCCCAAACGTTTTATCGGATGAGTGTGGACAAAATTCCTTGGACACGTCAATTTTTATTTTAAGGCGGACGAATTTTGATGTATGTTTCACGCCCCCATCCGCACCCCTACACGCTCCACCCCGCCCGCCCCCTAAATTTTAAATTGTAAGGGGGGTTGAGTGATATATCATTTTAAAGGTATTTTAATTCTTAATAAGGTTCTGTAATTTTTTTAAAATCTGTTAGTTAGTTTTGGAGAAATTGCTATTTGAAGTTTTAAATTTGGTAAAAAAAATAAAACAAAAAAAACTGTAAATCAACGAATGTATTGTTCAAAGTGATTTCGTCCAACCTCCATGCAATAGTACAGACGTTGATTAAAATTATTTCTAACATTTTGAAATACGTCTGGCGTTAATAACCGGCATTCTCTAATAACACTAGGCAACAAATTTTAACTTAAAAAAAAGGTCCTGGTTAAAAATAGAATCTTTCGATCGTTTATGACTGAAATAGATCCAAAATGTTTTTAAAAAAAATTTCTGAAGTCGTAAATAAAAAATAGGAGCACAGTATTATGGTACCATTTATTGCATAGATACACCATTTGAAGATTTTAGGATGACGTTACTTCTAACTTATATTTCAGCATTCCATGAACAACATATATGTACATATTATAAAAATTTAAGGCATGTTTTTTTGATGTTTACTGTTTTTTTTATTATTATTTTGTTTATATATTTTTATCGTTATAATTTAACAATTTTTCTTTGTATCATGGTGCTGCCCGTACCGTCTAAACGAGACTTTGGAAAATTTTTTGGTCGCCGGATTTGCGTCGAGCAGGTGAAAATCTATAGGGCTGTGCTATTTTTATTACCGACCTTTTTTATTTACTAATTTTTATCGTTATTATTTAACAATTTTTCTTTGTATCATGGTTCTGCCCGTATCGTCTAAATGAGACTTTGGAAAATTTTTTGGTCGCCGGATTTGCGTCGAGCAGGTGAAAATCTATAGGAGTGTGCTATTTTTATTACCGACCTTTTTTATTTACTAATTTTTATCGTTATTATTTAACAATTTTTCTTTGTATCATGGTCCTGCCCGTATCGTCTAAACGAGACTTCGGAAAATTTTTTGGGTGCCGGATTTGCGTCGAGCAGGTCAAAATCTATAGGACTGAGCTATTTTTATTACCGACATTTTTTTATTGTTTACTAGTGTAATTCTTTCCCTCAATTCCTGAAGAGTCTCTGGTGGGGTGGCATAAACTTTTGATTTCAAATGTCCCCACAAAAAAAATCTAACGGTGTTAGATCAGGAGATCTAGGCGGGCACTCTATAGGACCCCTTCTTCCAATCCAACGTCCTGGAAAATGTCCGTCCAAAAATTGTCGTACCTCATTGAGTCAAGAGTATAATGCGGAGGTGCGCCGTCCTGTTGAAATGTAATTTTATCTTCAAATAAATTATTATCATTTTCTAGAATTTCGGTAATCATTGGATCAATAAGATCTTCCAACATTTCTAGATAAATGTCTCCATTGAGGTTGCCGTCTATGAAAAATGGACCAACAAGATGGTCCCCTAAAATTCCGGCCCAAACAGTTCACTTTTGGGGAACTTGGGTGTGGGTTTTATGGAGCAAATGTGGATTGGTATCGCTCCAATAGCGACAATTATGTCTATTCACTTGTCCATTTAACATAAAAGTGCACTCATCCGAAAAACATGTATTATACAAAAGATTAGGATTAATAATCAACTGCTCACTGAAATATTCGCAAAACTGTAACCTGCGATCAGGGTCATCTTCATTAATTTCTTGAACCAGCCGAATTTTGAAAGGATGAAACTTGTTCATTTTCGTGATGCGAAACACACTGGTGGCGGATACGCCAGAGGCTTGAGATAATTTCCTGATAGACTGTGTATTATCCATTTGTACATGACCCAATACAGCAACTTCTATAGCTTCATTTCTTACTGGACGGTTTGCCTCACGTTTTTTGTTGTGGATGGAACCCGTAGTTTGAAACTTAGCTGATTATTATTAAAAATTCGTGCCGAGGCGTTTGCATAATCATTATTTCGATAATAGGTTGCAATAATTTCCGTTCTTTCTTCAATGGAGTATACCATTTTGAGAATACGTTGTAAGGTTCACAATGTTAAACTAAAAAGGTTCAGAAAGCTAAACTGATAATTAACGACTTATTGAACAGAGCAATAGGCATTTACTAATTATTCTTGATAACTGCATTTAAATAAATCCGTGTGGCGCGTGCGCGCTTTACCATGGCAGCCTCATAAAAAAATGTCATGCATGCATGTACTTTAAACATTAAATTGTTTAATTTACAACTTTGTTGTTTTTTTTTATTCATCAAATTTAAAAATTCAAATAGCAATTTCTCCAAAACTAACTAACAGATTTAAAAAAAATTACAGAACCTTATTAAGAATTAAAATACCTTTAAAATGATATATCACTCAACCCCCCCTTACAATTTAAAATTTAGGGGGCGGGCGGGGTGGAGCGTGTAGGGGTGCGGGTGGGGGCGTGCAACATACATCAAAATTTGTCCCCCTAAAAATAAAAATTGACGTGTCCAAGGAATTTTGTCCACACTCATCCGATAAAACGTTTGGAGGGGGGTACAAGTTTTCGTTGGAACACCCTGTATATATATATATATACAAGGTGTCCCGTATCGTTATGTTCAAATTTTGAGAGCATAAAGTAGACTTATTTTTAGGAAGAAAACCCGCAGAACTTGTATATCAATTTTTATTTGTTTCAAAGTTACAGGCCTTTGAATTACACAGGTCCACAAAAAAAAGTGGTCTGTGCTGGGTGTTCGACAAAGATTTTCCGACGTATTTTTTACCGCTAAACACGAATCTGAAGTCAAAATTGGGGGTCAAACTGCAAAAAACGAAGAAAAATTAAAAAAAACCGATAAAATCCATTATCTTATATCGGTTATTTTAATTTTTCTCCGTTTGCAGTTTGACCCCTAATTTTGACTTCAGATTCGTGTTTAGCGGTAAAAAATACGTCGGAAAATCTTTGTCGAACACCCAGCACAGACCACTTTTTTTTTGTTGACCTGTGTAATTCAAAGGCCTGTAACTTTGAAACAAATAAAAATTGATATACAAGTTTTGCGGGTTTTCTTCCTGAAAATAAGTCTACTTTATGCTCTCAAAATTTGATCATAACGATACGGGACCCCTTGTATATACGCCCTCCAGAAAACGAACCTTGGGTTTAAAAATTCAATTTTTGGGTTTTAATAGATTTTGGTAGATGAAGGTCTGATCTATAAATACAAGCTTTTTATTTTTAGCTAAAATTTTGCTCTTGCGGCGAATAACAAGGAATATAGTCCTCCTTACTCGCGTTACTCTACTACCTACACAATCGTATCGTACCATCTGTTCGAGCTCTTCGGGTAAGTCCGGCGAACACAAGGATACGTGGCGTAAAAATGCCGAGTTTTGTCCCTACAGAGCTGGAAAATTAGTACATTTACTTACGAGTTCTTTTTAACTCATAAGTATTTCTTATTTAAAGTACTTGTGAACCAAATAAAATGTACTCTTGAATTTCACGTGTATTTCTGTTTATTAAACTCTTTATATTAGGGTGCATTTTCATATCGCTAGTGTCCCGCGGCTAATTTTCTTTTTTAATTTAAAATAACTCAAAATGAGACTGACCGTGATGAAGAAAAATCAGTTGGAATGGAACGGGTATATATACCCGTAAAGTGATTATATAAACATCGCGTTCTTTTCGTGAATGCAATATGCATCAGTAAAATTTGATTTGTAAACATTCAGAAAATTTTGCTGCGCAGTCTCATCTCAAGTTATTTCAAACTTAAGAACAAAATTTGCTGCCGAACACCCTGTAACTTAGTGTTTACAGGGTATCCCGGAAATGTTGGCAGAAAAGTTAACAGTAAAAAATAATCGTTTTTTTCATTTGAAGTTATGCTTTAGGGGTTTTCGTTTCCAACTTACAATGTGTTAAAAAATAGTTCTTGATTATTAACTTTTAAACACTAAAAGGTGAAGGTTACGAAATTTTAGCTATGGCTTTATTTGGTAATGCCCTAGTAGAATTAAACATTGAATTTGTAGGTTACTCAGCATAATGATATTGCCATAGGGTTTTATAAATAAAAAAAACAGATGCGCCATTGGTAAAATATTTTTGGCTAATTTTTTTATTTTAAACTAAGTTTCCCTTTTGCCTTTTCTTTTTATCTCTTTCCGTAATTAAATCTTTTGTATATACCAGTTTTCTACAGCCTACACAGGTAAATTAACAGGATTCTAATTGAGTATGCTATGACCCAGTGTTGGATAAGAATAAGCAGGGCCGGCGTTAGCTTATTAGAGGCCTGGGGGCCAATTTTTGACCGTTCGTAACTCTTGAAAGCGTTCGCAAATGTACGATTTGTAACAAATCTCATTTTTGAGCCATCGCATCTTTGCGTATACGCAAATTTTCATACGTTTTACTGCGAGCGGCGAAATACTCGCTAAATGTCACAAACGTATACGTTATGTGCATGGAAATAAGGTTAAGTGTCTTTTGCACACCCAGTTTTTAATTTTTATTTTTGAAACTCAGCTCTATGTAATATTATAACATAGTTATTATGAAAGAGCAACTCAAGACTCAAATTTTGGTATACAAAATTTAATGTTTATGATTGTTAAAACCACAAAAATTTTAAGCTTAAGTTTGAAAGTGAGCTAAAGCCACCCGTGTTTACGGTATTGTTTTTTAAAATTTGCCCTTGGGTATGGGAGGGATATTTTTTTTTAAATTTTCATTATTCATTTAGATGTGGAAGAGATGATTTTTCAAAATTAGCGGGTTTCGGTTGTCTTGAAAATTCGCGCCTAGGAGTGATGAATCCCTTAATATTCCTAGATGCAATAGCTAAAGTTACATAAATCAAGTGGTTACAACCACCTATAACTATGGGATAAAGTCCACCAGTGAGATTCAAAAAGGCTTAAAGGATAACTTGAATTAAAGTTTTAATTTAAAACACTCAAAATTCCTGCAAAACAAAAATTATAAAGAAAACGAACTAATGTGGTATAAATTACTGAGGACATTGAATCATAGAACTGTTTTGTTAAACCATTATACAATGAAATATACAATAAATAAATAAAATAAAAAAAAATAGTTCAAACGCACCCCAATTTAAAACGTTGCCTGATTTATCATTCGCATAAATGCGAAGACTTAACTTGGGCTTATTTTGTTTTGCGCATGGCGTTCAAAAATTGATAAATAGAAACGTATACGATATATGTCGTGCGCAACTGAGAGTATACGCAAATAAACGTACACTCTCAAAAATTGGCCCCCAGGTGCAAAAGAAAAATGCGGGGCTTGAACTAAAAATTTACTCTTGAAAATTAACACAGCGCTTAGCGGCAATAAACCACTAAAACATCAAACGAAAAACCAATTGAATGGGTTAGAGCTGAAACCGCCCAAGTGCAGTTTTAAGTCAAAATTTTTTAAGCGTGTTACCGGATAGTAGAAAATTTTGACTTAAAAATGCACTTGGGTGGTTCAGCTTTTCCCTTCAATTAATATAGAAATTAAAGTCATTTTTTCGCGTAAATACTATGTAATACTACGGTTAAATAAGTCATGACGTCACAGTTAATTCATATAAGTTATATGATATAACCATGGTTAGGTTTCTAACATTTGACATTTGTTTACTTGTTCATAACCTATAATTTTTGAAATGTGTTTTTACCTATTTATATTTAATTTCTATGCTTTTACCGGTGTAAATAAATTTCTTTGCCTCTTCTTAAGAATTATACCTAGTATATTCTTTTTCTATAGGTACTAGTTTTTTCAGTACACGTTATCCAATTCTCCTACATGTTTAATACAAAATAAGGAAGAATATAAAACAAACCTGCATATAATTCCTCAACTTGTGGAGAGTCCACAATATGGAGCACCCTATCATTTATTTTTACTGACAACACCCCGTTTACCATTTTAATACAAAGTTTAAATTCGGTTTAAGAGCAATTGTACCCAAAGATAATATCTTTGATTGTACCTACTTAAAATATTTTAAATTTCAAATGTAAACAACTTTTTGACAGATCGAAACAAAGAAAAATATATATTAAAAAGAGAAAGACTATTAACCACGTTGAATAACTAGCTCAGCGATATAGTTTTATGGTCTGGTATTTGTGACGTCATAGTTAGGATTTTTGAACGCACTCTAAACGCAAAAATGCCTTAACTATTAACCAAGGTTAAGTTTAATAACCATAGGGCCGGTTTTTCAATCGTTGGTTAAGTTTATCTTACGGTCAATTTCCTTAGATACTATTGTTAACACAATGGTATCTAAGAAAGTTAACCGTAAGATAAACTTAACCAATGATTGAAAAACCGGCCCATAGTATTTCATGGTATTTACGCGAAAAAACGACTTAACTTTTAAGAAAAAATCACAAATATTTTTTTTCCCCTCTTTTCCAACATCCTTCTCTATTGACAATATAGCCAAACCCACTAGTCGTTCTTGGCACATACCTACCTTCTTAATCTTGGTTTAATGGTTTTTTATTAATTTAAATTTTGAAAAACTCTTTTCCCGGCGTAATAATAATTGTTTTAAACGGATACAGACAACTTCAAATACACATTTAGCAACATTGGACTGAATGATAATAGATAACGATATCTACTAAACATATTATCTTTGGCAATGACCAGATATTATTTTGTCACGCTGTGCTTACAGCTTGCCATGTTGCTAAAATGTACAATAATTTCGTTAAGACGCCTTGATGCGCGCGGGGCTATAAAATGCGGGGCCGGGTGCAACCGCACCGTTTGCACATGCCTCACGCCGGCACTGAGAATAAGCATTGAAAATACATTACCAAATAAAACAGTACCTACAATTTTGTCTTATCTTCTAGTTTTCACAAGTTATTCAAAAAAATTGAAATTTTTAACACCCTGTAAGTTGCAAATGAAAACCTGGACAGCCTAACTTTATAAGAAAAAAAAAATTTTTTTCAAGCTTATGATAATCTTTCTGCACATATAATTTAAAATTAAAACAAAATTACCAATTTTTTGTAAGCTCCTCCGCCAGATGGTGGCTTGGGACTCGCTGCCATGGCCCTCTTCAATCCTAACTCGCTCTTGGCAGGCCATGTAGGAAACATGGCGGGATCTATTGGCAAGGGGTGTTCCAAGAAATACGGACTTTGCAACGCTTCTTCTGCCGTTGTCCTTTTAACGGGATCGTAGGTTAGGAACTTCAAAAGAAGTCCCAAACCGATCTCACTCAAATTATTGAACTTTGATCTCAAGTTTGAAACGGGGAATCGGTTGAAGGTCATTTTTTTGACGGCCGGCAGTTCGTTGTAACCAGGCCAGATTGTTTCGTTAGGGGTACCCAGTTCTTTGAAAATTTTATTGACTTGTTCTACTTCCGTTTTTCCAGGAAACAGGGCGTTCATGAGTAAGAACTCAGCGAAAATGCAACCTACAGACCACATATCTATAGGTGTGGAATATTCTTTGGTGCAGAGCAACAACTCTGGGGCTCTGTACCATAATGTAACAACAATGGGAGTGTATGCTTTCAGAGGTGAATCATATTCTCTGGCAAGACCAAAATCGCCAACCTTAAGGATGCCTTTATGAGACAACAATAAGTTGGATGTTTTTAAGTCTCTGTGCAAAATCCAGTTGTCATGCAAATGTGCTACAGCCAAAAGCAACTGGTTTAAAAGGCATTTTACTTCACCAGGCATGAACTTTTGCTTTTTATGCCTCATAGTTTCCATTAATGACTTAAGATCATGTTCCACATAGTCCATTACAATGTAAATTTTATCCATGTTACTACCAACTACAATTTCCCTTACAGTCACAATATTTGGATGTTGGCCTTTCAACAGAGTATTAATTTCTCTCAGGGATGTAATGGGAAAACCCTCCTTTTCCTTTTCCATTTTTAGCCTTTTTAAAGCGACTATTTCGTCTGTCCTTTTATCTTTGGCTCTAAACACAACACCATATGTACCCTCTTCTATTCTATTCAAAGTTTGAAATTCAACGACACTTCTACAACCTTGAATCGCGGGATAATAAGGCGGCAAACTTTCGTCTATCTTCGGTTTTTCTTTCACCTCTTTCTTTTCAACGTTATTTTCTTCAGGTTTTTCAGACACTGGCTCCACCACTTTCTCTGCTGTTGGCTCGCTAACAGGACTGCTTGTTCTGCTCCTGCTGGGGCTCTGACTTCTAGATCTACTTCTGGTTCTACTGTTGCTTCTGCTGCGACTTTTTGACCTGTCAGAAGCAGGACTGGCTTCCCTGGAATCACCACTTTGATATGATCTTTCGCTATGTGATTGACTTACACTGCTGTTCCTGCTACGCTCGCTGTAGTCGCTTCTTTCTTCGTTCTCGGATTGTGCTGCTACTTCTTCCTCACTTTCTGATACTTTTAACTCTTCCTCTTCTTCTTCTTCTACTTTCATACGTTTGTTATAAAAATCTTCATCGTCCTGCTTTCTTTTGGTTTTATCACGTTTTTCGCGGTCCAAACGAGATTGCTCTTTTAATCTTGCCATTTCTCTTTCTGCTTCCAACAGTTTTAATTTTCTAGAGTCTTGTTCAGCTCTTTCTTCCTCAGTCAACTCTTTTTCATTGTCATCCCACTTGGATCTTTCCTCATTATTGCCCTGCATTTCTTCCTCTTTCTGCTCATCCACATACTCAACCTCTTTATGCCTTTTATCTCTGTGCCTTACATGCTTTTGCTCCTCATACCTCCTGTGCTTGTATTTCTCCAATTCCCTTTCATACCTAGACCCCCGCTTATCTCCAACCGAACTAGCAACTTCTTCATATCTATGAGATTGATTTCTGAGATACTCTTTTTTCTCTCTATGCTGCTCCCGTTCTACGTAGTGAGACTGTGACTGAGACTCTGATGAGTAATGAACATCCCTGTAATACCTTTCCTTTTCCCTCTGATGGTGTTGTCTATCTTTATCCGACCTATGATGCTTTTCTCTTCTCCTCTCCCTATGAGAATGCCGTTCTTCCTTATGCCTTTCTGTTTTTTTATACCTTTCATGTTCCTCCCTTCTTTTCTTTGAATTTTGGTGAGAACTTCTCGCTTGCGGTGGTTTGATATCCAACCCATCGTCATTTTCGTTTTCCTCCTCTGAAAGGCTTAAAAACAAGTTAGGCTTTAACAACGTTTTAAATTGTATTACAGATCCTAACCTTATTTCTATAACTTTGTTTTTTGATGCACTTTCCAGAGGTATTTCGCGTAATTCACCGTCCTCGCTGTGTTCATCTGCAGAACCATTATAAGACATCCTAATTTTTAATATTTAATAAAAAGTTGAATAAAGAGTTTTGCGTTTGGTAAAATGACAATTGTAAACAAACACCAACCTTATGAAAATAATATTTTCAAAATATCTCCCCATGTGCGAAAGTTTCGCAGCGAAACTGTTCGGTAGATTATTATAAAAATTTGTTATTTAACATTTTTAAATGGATTTTATATTAAAATTTTTAATTATGTATAAAATTTGAAATTTTGCATAATAGTTAAATTAAACATTTTAAAATATAAATTTATCTATCTACCAAAAATCTTGTTCACTCGGTTGTCTGGTGTTTGTCTGTGTTGGCTATGCTTGCCAGTGTTCTGTGGCTATTACCATGGCATTACCAACTTGTTATTATAACCTCAAATATGTGCCAAATAAAAGTGTCAAAATATTAGGATATATTAAAATGTGATAATATTTTAACAAAAAATGAGTAAAATAAGGACGACGCCATGTGGGAAATACTTTTTAACGATATTTTTTGTACTAACAATTGCAATAATCATACTTTATATTTTTACAAATTATGACTCTGTCCATGTTCAGCACAGAATTCGAACAAGACAGGGTAGAAAACCTGTACTCAACAAGAAAACCATAGGTTTTCAGGGAGAGAAAATCGTGCATTTGGATTTAAAGGGGGCACCTCCAAAAGTATCGTACTACAAAAAATTATTTCCTTTGTTGTCCAAAATGGGTGCTACTGGGTTGTTAATGGAGTATGAAGATATGTTTTCTTATAATGGGGGACTGTTAGAGAACATTTCAGCCTATAATGCATACAGTTTGAGTGACATCAAGCTTATTAACAAGTATGCAGCAGAATCTCAGCTTAAACTCATACCTTTAGTACAGACATTTGGTCATATGGAGTTTCTTTTAAAGCTATTTGAGTTTAAAGAGTATAGAGAAGAGGAGCCTTATCCTTCTGTAATATGTCCCTCACATGAAAATACTTTAAATTTGTTGACAGACATGATTGTACAGGTTGTTGAAGCACATCCAGATTCCAAATTTATTCATATAGGTAGGTTTAATTTTATTTTAATGAATTTCTCTACAAATGGTTACTGTTTTTAGGATCTGATGAAGTATATTATCTGGGAATGTGTGATAAATGTAAAAATGTAATGGCATCTGAAAATTTATCAAAAAACATGTTATTTATAAAACATGTAAAATCTGTTATTAAAATCATTAAAAGCAGATTTCCAGACTTGAGAGTATTAATGTGGGATGATGAGTTTAGATCTGCAACTAAAGAAGAACTTAAGAAAAGTAAAATTGGCAATATGGTTGAACCTGTGGTTTGGAAATATACCAAAGATGTAATGGATGATTTAGGGCCCTCATTATGGGATATGTATTCTGATGCATTTCCTAAAATTTGGGTTGCTAGTGCTTTTAAAGGAGCCACAGGTAATATTTTTGTATTTTATTCAATTAAAGGGGTTAGTGCAAAAAGTTGTTCAAGTTGTGTCTTTGAATTATGCTTTTTTTATACTTGCATTGCATTTTTTTACTGAAAAGATTATTGATTAGGATCTCCCAAATAAGGGTTTTTACTAGTGTCAGACAGAAATTTTTTAGAAGAAACTGGAAGTTATGGGCTGTAACCCAGCTTTGTAACAGATTATTTCAATGTATAAAAATCCAATAAAATATGAAAACAGCATAAACTTATAATAATTGAAGCTTGGTCTTCCCAAAGTGCCAAAAATAAAATTGTGAGTAATCAATGAAAATACTACAAAAATAATATGGAGTTGGAAATTTTTTTAAGTCGTTTTTTTTTTAAATAATAATTTAATATTTGACCAAATTGGGTCCAAACCCTTTGGGAATACCATGGTATTCATGCATGCTTCAATTATAATTTTTTTCTACTTTTCCAACAAAACTAAATTTATGGTAAAATTTAGTAGGACCCTTTTTTAAGAAAATAAAATATCCTTATCACTTTTACTATAAAAACTGCTTCCATATCGGATTTTAACAGTTGTTAGTCCATTTCAAGAAATAAATTTTGATCTTTTCAGAAAAGAACTGACATTTTGAAAGCCGTCAAAACAGATTCACATGTTGTTACTCTATTTTTTTTTGTAGATTTCGCTATACAAATATTTAAATTAATTAGTAATAAATTGTTTTTTATATCTAATAATATTTGTCGTAGAAAAAGTATAGTAGGCAACTTCTTTATAAACTTTTCTAGACACTTATTTTATTAAACACTTGCTCGCAAGCTCGCTTAATTAAAATTCGTGACTAAAATGGCCTTTATCAAACTTGATTCACAATATAATATTATATTTTCTAGGAAGTAATCAGTATATTGTTGACGTACCCACCTACCTCCAAAACCACAGAAGTTGGATGGACATAATCTCATTCTACAAAGACAATATAAACTTTGAAGGTATCATAATAACAGGCTGGCAAAGGTACGACCATTTTGCAGTGCTCTGTGAGCTCCTCCCAATAGGTCTTCCATCTCTAGCAATGTCCTTGAGAATCGTGCAGGGCTACATGGACTCCCCGCTAACCCCTCCACTGGAAATAGCTGATTTACTTCACTGTGAGCAACCATATGCTCTTATAGCTTCTGCTTTTGGTACTCCAAAGTGTAACTTCCCAGGTGGGAGTGTTTTGGAGAGCGTTTTGCATTTGCATCAGCTTAAGATGGAGTTTCAGGAAATTTCAACTCAATCACAAGCTTTAGGCTGGATGGATGGTTATAACATAGAACATAAGTACTCAAGTCCGCAGTATGTCGAGGTTATTACCTTGGCTTTGGTCAGAATAAAAGGAGATTTAGGAAGTTTGGATGAAGAACTCACCATGGCTTTGCAAGAAGTATATGACAATTATACTGTTAGTGAATGGAAGGATACTTACTTTAAACCATTTGAAATTAGTGTAAATGAACTATGGAAATCAGGTCAGGCTTTGTTAAGCAAAGAATATTGGCCCAGAAGACCTTTGGACTACAAAAATGAATTGTAATCAGGTCTTTATCAACATTGTGATAATAATAACTCTTTAGTTTGTAAAGCAATCACATTTTTATTTTGTAATTTTGTTAAAAACTTTTTCCAACTTTTATACTCTTTAATATTTTTTAAATTTCTGTACCATTATTTACTTCAATGTGAATACATACATGTATATATGTAAAATTGTCTTAGTGTTTTTTAAAAAAATTTTAATGTAAATATGTTTAAATAATTTTAGAGACTGAAAAAATTGTACCTTTAATAATTGTAAGTAAATAACTGTAAAGCAACAAAGGGCATTCCACGAAACACGGGAATTTTTGTCCTGCCAGTCACAATAAAAAAAACTACACGTTATTAAATTAATATTTTATAATATTATGTTTATTATGCTTATAAGCTTATTACAAGCATAATGAACTATATTTTAAAATAAATTTAATAACGTATGGTGGGGAATGCCCCACAACTGATTGTGTAGAAACTAAGAAATTTCTATATAAATATCAATATTGCAGAATATTTTCTTGAAATTTTATGGTTTTAGTTTTTGCACCTTAAATCATTATATAAATAATATCATGCCTTAAATGATAAAAAACTTTATTTAATATATTAGGAATTCTATATTTTTAATAAACTTTTTGTTTCCCTATCCTTACTTTTATACAAGGTGGTCCAGTTTAAACGTCATTAACTTAAGTGGTGATGGAACAAACAAACAAACTTGTGTTTGTTTGTTTCTCTATGGATAGAGTGGTCTTGGACTAGTGACACATAATATCAAAAAAACATTTGTCAACCATTTTAACATGGGGCCTGGTTAAAATGTTACATAGAGTGTTAAAACTGATAGATGTTTGTATCGGATTGTATGGTGTTTCTATAGGGTGTATAGGTATGAATGGTGTTTCTATAGGGTGTATATACAGTATGTCTCAGTATCTTGGAATCATACGGAAAACTTTTTTATTATTAATTTTAGGAAAAAAAGTTATTCTTCATAAAAAGTTCTGCATGGTGTAAAACTTAAAATGCAACCCACAAATATTAATTTTTTTTAGTCGTATACGAGGTATGTCAAAAAATATAAATTTGGCGCAAGAGTAAAGTACCTTTATATTTGACCATATCAAAAATTGTTATAAAGAAAAGTTAATCAGAACTAAAAACTACGTTTAAATATGCAATTTCATACATTTACATAAAAAAATTAGGTTTTGTTAATTTTTACTAATCTTTCTATTTTAAATGAACATTTATCTGTTATGATTAGAAAAAACATGAAAACCTTAAGTTAAGTCAGGGGATCTAGCAGGCCAAAAAGTTTTAGAATATCAACAAATCATTTGTTTATCAGTGAATCCTAGATTACATGTTACAGTTAAATTTGCATTGATATTGTAGACAAAAAAGAAAAAATATTTTTTTTAATGTAAATGGATGTAATTGCATATTTGAACGTAGTTTTTAGTTCTGATTAACTTTTCTTTATAACAATTTTCGATATTGTCAAATATAAAGGTACTTTACTCTTGAGCCAAATTCATATTTTTTGACATACCCCGTATACGACTAAAAAAAAAATAATATTTGTGGGTTGCATTTTAAGTTTTACACCATGCAGAACTTTTTATGAGGAATAACTTTTTTTCCTAAAATTAATATTAAAAAAGTTTTCCATATGATTCCAAGATACTGAGACATACTGTATACGGTATACAGTATACCTATAGGTATGAATAGGACTCATAGTTGGGATTTATGGTTGTTCTATAGGGACATCCTTCCTTGATTTATTTGGTAGGGGAGAGTGGGGAGGGTCTGGACACTGGGAGACAATGGACAAATTTCGCGGTTCCAGTAGGCTGGTTCTACTATTACAAATTGTCAAGTTGGTAAGGTATCAAATAGTGGTAGTGAAATAAGTTTGAGTTTAGCTGTAGAAGAGGTAAGTGGAAAAGTTTATTTTCGAGTTTTTTCATGTAATATTTTACTTTCCCCTTGTAAGCTTTTCTGCCCAGACCTTTGTAGATAAATAATTTAAAGTTACTACATATTAAAGCATGTATAAAGCATGGAACTTTTGTTATATCCTTACTTTATTCCGTAGCTATATTTTGAAATTATAAACATTTTTTTTGTTCCACATCATGTAGGGAGAGTTTGGACACACTGTCTGGAGTCCCGGCACTTCGTTAGCAGAATATTGCAAAAATTAAACCGAGGATATACAGTAAAATTCCTTAAAAGGCAGTTTCCAACATACAGATTTAAAGAAACAGATGAAGATGAAGCCTTGGTATACCTATAGATTTTAAGGACGTGGTATTGGTTCTTCCCACCCACTGACAGAGTTCAATTCCATAACAGGATTTACTTAAATTTAATTTTGATTTGTCGAAATTTAGTACTAATTTAGTTTTGCCCTGATTTTTTCAATAAAATTCCTAAATTTATAATATTTTTATAGTGTCCCGTACGCTGTCCAGAATCTCCCCGTATGTGGGGTTACTTTGGACAGATGACCGAAAATTTTCAAAAATTCGTAGCAAACCCATCTTACGGTTTAAAGTGCACATATTTATCTCTTAAGAAATTTGCATTTTCAGAAGTCAACACTATTACCTGAAACTTTGAAATTAGAAATAATTACATTTTTAAGAGACCCAGGCAAAAAAATCTAAAAATTGTCCAATGTCTACCCACTCTCCCCTATTGGTCTCAATAGGGAAAATACACATACAAGTAGAAATTAGTTTTTCTCCCAAACGACTCCATAGGTTTTAACAAAATTTTGTCAAATGTTTTATGATTGCTCTATATCCCTATAGGGATATCCCTATATAGGGATATCCCTATATCAGAGACTGCCTTCCTTGAGTTATTTGCTATAGGGTAAATGTAGAAACTATGGTGATGTAATTTCCTACACATTTTCTATCGGGCCGTATCCGGAAAAAGCATGGACAAATGCACATAGTCCGTTAGCGCCCGATAGATTATTTTTATGGGTCTCTATGGGGTATTTTAAGCAGGGCAATGAGCCTGAACTTAATAGGAGAAATTGACAAAACCTGCCCTCCAAATCGCAAAAATTAAGTATTTTTTTTCACCATCAGCGGCGCTGATTGTCGATACCTACTGACGTCTGCTGTCATGGAGCCTACACAAGGAGCCCGAACCATAGACAATGGCCCGAACTTAATAGGGAAAATTGACAAAACCTGCCCTCTAAATTGCACAAATTAAGTCTTTTTTTTTACCACCTGCGGCGCTGATTGTTGATGCGTCCTTACGTCTGCTCTTTTGGTAGCGTTTCGGTACAAATTAGTCAATTGTTTCAGAATAAGCGCCTACTTTCTTTAGGAAGATTCTTGTTTACATGCAGTTCGGACTCCTTGTGTAGGCTCCATGTCTGCTGTTTTGGTACAAATCAAACAATCAACACCAGCGGCGCTGGTCCAGCGCCCTCTTATCTGAGGAAGAGTCTTGTTTACATGAAGTTCAGACTAATTGTGTAGGCTCCAGGTATGTAAACTTCAAATAACTGTTTGATGTCTAGCTTGTTTATTTTGTTTCCATAACAACTTCTTAGATTCCTGTTAGGAAACCTTTAGATGCTCTAAATATTAAAATTAATGACGTTTAAATTGGGCCACTCTGTATATAGACTATATAATTATATTAATTAATTAATTATATACCTATAAATATAGCAACATTCTTGCCAAAAAATCTATCAATTAAAAATACCTAAATAGTTATCTAGGGCTAAATATGTTTATTAATAGTTGAAAAACAATACCTGCACAAAACATACCTATGTTAAACGCTTAAGTAAATCGTATTTTTAAATTTAGCCCGATTTTAAAAGCGCCACCTGACATTCGCAAAACCAACTAACCCCGACAACAACATTCCATTAATTTGCCTTTTAAATTAACATTAATTCATTAAGTACCGAACGAAAACAAAATGAGTTCTTCTCAATTCATTTTAGACACTCTAAGGCAAGATATAACCGAAACCAACTTACAATTGAAGGCTCTGATTCAGGTCAGTTAAATTTTATAAAATAAATAAATTCAAGTTCAGAGATTCCACGTCGTACATTCTAGGACATAACCGCATGCGCGGGGCCTCTTGCAGAACTGCACAATTTAAACAGCGCGGGACGTTCGAAAATATCCGCTCTTAGAAAAAGTATCGACAAATTTGGAGACATAGCCAAAGAAAATAGAGAACAACAATTACTAAAGGAAGTTGTACTTTATAGAGAACAATTATCGAGGTAAATTTAATATTGTTTTTACTAAAAATATTATCTGAAAACTCGTATTTATGATTTTTCCATATATTTTTGATATATAAATTTGATAGTTACCTAACCTAAAATGTGTGTCACAAAATTGTTGACATAAAGCCGGAACTACAATTGTCGCAGGGGTTGAAACGCGGGACATAAAACATAAGAAAATCCACAATCCACACATGGACCACATGTGGACCACAGAATACGATGTGGACTCCATGTGAACTCCACAGTTTTGCCGTTTTTAAGTATTCATATCGGATCTTTTTAGAAGCCCTGTTATCATTTTCCTTTTTTGAATAGAGCAACTTTCACTATTTTTATTAACTTTGGGTTAACCCAAAATTACAATTTCAGCAGATTGAATGTAATTAGGCAGGTAGTATTTTATAAGGCGCCGTTTGTGCCACAATTATGATTTATAAAATATATAATTTAACTAAATAATATATTTAAAAACAGTAATAATATAATATATAATATATATATATATATATATGTATATATATATAAATATATATGTGCTTCACAAAAAAAATATTTTCTCAAATGTTTCTATTTAATAAAAAAAAATCCTCACTTAAGATCAACTCTAAGAGGTCGCTGTTTTTATTTTAGTTTCCCATTTAATTAACATGGGAAAAAATAATTTTATGTTTGGAATTTTATACCTCTGTATCAAAGTAACTTATGGGAGCTTTATTTAACTATAGTTGCCTATAGGCAACGCAGCCTTTTTTTATCATTTCATGGGGGAATTACTGTGGTGTAAATTAAATAACTTTTGCCGCGCTTTGGGTTTTGTTGTTTATTGTTTAACTGAAAGTTTATTGTGGTAACTCTATTTTTAAAACTACAATTTTTTATTACTTTATTCGAATAATCTGGGCTAGGCAAAACTTCTAAAACTATGTCATCAAGACTTAGTTCCATTACTGCGGTGAAATACTATTTTAAATACATAGGTCATGACCTATTATTCTGTTAGTTTTTTAATTTAAACTCATACTCAAGTGCTTTAAATAATTATTACGTACCAGAGGTATTATTATTTCATTGTATTCCCTAGTTTTAAAAATATAATCAATACCACAATTAACCTAAAATTAAACCTAAAATAAGTATTTTACATAAGAATAAATGAAGTTAAATTTTAAAACAAAAATTAGCTTGTTATGGTTACAATGTTATACTTACTCATAGAAAAAGGATATATAGTGGTATTAATATCTCATGGCGGGTGACCTTGAGAGACGCTGACAGACGCCATTCAATTTAATAAATAAATGGAAACTAAAAACATCCGCCACTTCCATAGACCTTTAAGTTAACTTAAATGTCTTATGTTCTGTGTTAAATGTCTATGGATGCTTCCCAAATCTGTCATCTGTCAACTAATATAGTAAAGCGTTTTTTTCTTTATTTTATAAAATATATTGTAACAATAGATAATGACTGCCCCCCGCCCACCCAACCAATCCCTAGTCTATGATGACTGCAATTGAAGACCCTGCTGCAAAAAGGAGGTAACTCCATAAAAGTTATTTTTGAGTCATCTTTACATTAAACAATGCAGAATAGTCTAGTTCACAGTTGTAAGGGTGTAAAAGTGAATTTTGTAAAAGTTACCCCCTTTTTGCAGAAAGGTCTTCAATTGTTAAGCAATGATCTGTAAAATATATAATGGATTTCAGTAAAAAAAAATATATAATCTGTGTATAATCCGAATTAATGACTTCTTTTTTGCCGTTATTCATTTCGTATAACAAATATAATATTAGTTATAACAAATATGATATGACAAATATGATATAACAAATATAGGCTGTGTTCCGTAATTTACTGCCATTACTGTCAGTAATTTTACTGTCAGTAGCGGAAAAGGACCGTTCCGTAATTTATTCAGTACTGACGCACAGTGAAATTGGAACGCGCCTCAGTAGCAGCAGAAAGTGACAATGGTTATGCAAGGTTATGATTTGTGATTTACGGACAATTGACAAACTTTACTTTCGGCACAGCAGAGAACATAAATAAAAAATAAATATAACAGTTATCGCCGACGGTGGACGAGTGGTTAGTGCTGCTGACTACAAGCCGGAGGTCGTGGGTTCGAATCCCAGGGGTATGGCTGTTTATTTGTGTTTGTTCTATTGTGTAATAGTCCTTCGGAGCCCAGTGAACCAAACCGTGACTTATGACCTTAAATTTACGTAACACGTAGATCATATCTAGGTAATTCAATTTTTACGTCATAGTGACATAATACTGACCCAAAACGTGACTTTTATATGATGTAATTAAATGACTTACATATTACGTACATCTTATGTAATATTAAAGTCATATCGTGACGTAATATTAAAGTCACTTTTCTTACGTAAGACTGACATAAGAAATCTGTCATAATATTACATAACTTTTAGGTCACTGTCTTACGTAAGACTGACGTAATAAATCTGTCATAATATTACCTAAGTTTAAGGTCACTTTCTTACGTAAGGCTGACGTAAGAAATACGTCATACTATTACATACGTTTTAGGTCACTTTCTTACGTAAGACTGACGTAAGAAATCTGTCATACCATTACATAAGTTTAAGGTCACTTTGTAAGGTAAGACTGACATAAGAAATCTGTCATACATATTATTTAGACGAACTAGATGCAAAAGTAATTTCAAAGTATGAAATTCACTGTATTTTAATGTTTGAATTAAACTAATTTCAATGAATGGACTTGAAATTGATTGAAATGGTTAATTCCAATCATTGAGTAAAATAACGTAAGTAAATTCTATTAATTGAAATTCACGCCGATTATTTTAAACAATAAAATCAGTGGATACTTTTCCTTACCAATCAGTTTAATTCAAACATTAAAATACAGCAAATTTCATATTTTAAAATTACTTTTGCATCTAGCATGATGAAAGAAATAACGCGAAATTCCTTGAATTTTTTGGCTACTTAGTACTTGGTCGATTAAATGAAAATATGGTTTAAAATCAATCAAAAAATAATGTATCTTAATTTAATATGTAATAAACATCATATAGATTTTTATGATTGCGGTTCCTACTGCTTTAAAGCATAATTATGACGTAAAAAATTTTGAAAATAGCGTCGTACTTTCAAAAGTACACATTTTATTCAATGGTCATGTGAAAAATCATGTAGGTACCTACTCATAATCATGGTTGCAAGTACTTGCAAGTACCTACTTATTTTTTAAATTGGAAAAAATTATCAACAAAAGATTTACGTGTTATTACGTGTTAACGTGTTATTTTTGTATCGATGTTACTGTTATTATTTTTTGAAAATTTTTGAAAATGGCGCTTTTGGTGAAAGTGGAATTTTTTTGTTCCACCCTGTACAATCGAAAAAATAAGTAGTAACGCTTTAAAAGACCTGAAATGATATTTCACTTACTTCAAATATTTTTAAATGTTACCTTGGCAGTACGACGTCATTTGTTTTTTTTAATCCATGCATGTCAAAAAATGTTACCTATTAAAATACTAAAATTTTAAATTTTTAAAATAAAAATAATTTTTAAATGTTGAATATTGTCCCTAGCTATAGCTATAGCTACTCATAAAAAGCGATTTTTGTTTGTTCTTACTTCTGACATACCCTGTAAAGAATCTGAAAAATTAGTAGTTGGTTCAAAATCCATTGTGAGTTGGTTTTGATCAGCTTCATAAATTAGATAAAGTATCAGCTTGCAATAAATACCTTTTCGGTAATGATTCCATTTCCCATTGAAAAAAATGTGACCTTTTGACAGTACGACGCCATTTTAGAAATTTATCAAAATTGGTTTAAGTCAAAAAGTAGTACCCAGAGTACCCTTGTCTCTGGTAGTACCTACCTATATATTTAATGCCTTGTTTAACATACTAAAATTTCAATTTCCAAATACAGAGGTTCAAAAAATAAAACTAAAAAAAATAATACAACCAAATTTAAAGAAATTAATTTTATAATATAATATGGTATAATTATATATAAATATAATACCTATAATAATAGATAGGTATTTGCACAATATTGTGGGTATTAGTATATTTTTTAAATTTAAAAAATGATAAATAAAAGAAATGAAATTGAAAAACGAAATTATTTAAGTACACTGAGAATATTTAGTATTATGAAACCAAGAGTTTTTTAATAATATATGTAAACTATTAAAGAATTCTTCATTGATAAACAAATTTTATAATAATATTATAATATGGTCCGGTTATTGTGTTTCAGACAAATAAGGGTAAAGTTGTCAAATAACATTGATATATTAATTGTTAACAGTTGCAATATGCAGAAATGGTTGCCTATAATAAGTAGGCATCTACTATAATATAGTTGAAATCTACTTATCATGGGCAACCCCCATTGCATAATACATCTCGCTTATGTGGCACTAATCGTTAAGTATATAAGTTGAAACTGGCTGCATTGCGATTTGAGATTTAGGATCCGAACCTCGGCAAATACACGAATTATGAATTGTGGACCACGATAAAATTTAGATTTTTCGCTGGAATTCTTTCTTGGAGTCAGGATTGTTTCGTCATGGAATATCCGTGGTCCTCTGCTTAAACAGTGATGAAAAATAAGGAAGGGGGTTTCGTCATTCTGAGATCATATTTATGTCACATTTATTACGTAAATATTATGTAATGGTATGAAGTCAGTGTTACATCAAGATGTTTACGTCATATTTATGTCATATTTATTACGTCAGAGTCTGACGTAAGGAAGTGTGAAATAATGACTCTTGTATGACTCAAGTGTGACCTATATCTTACGTAAGCGTGACTTGACATGACGTCATATTTACGTCATATTTACGTAATTGTGTTTACTGGGAGGGGACTTTAAGCGGTCCGTTCCTACCCCTAACCCGCACAAGCCATTCAGCTGGCTTATGGGACTTCTTAAGAAGTAAGGGTGGAACTAAAAGAGCACTTTTGT